CAATTCATGGTCTTCCACTTTCACACATCCCCCTCAGCCTCCTGCACAAGGATGCCCTGTCTGTGTCTGCAATGTTCTGTGGAACGACCGTGTCTTTTGGTTTTTATGGACAGTACTCTTCTGCTCTCATTCTGGAGATCCTGCAACTTGACAATGCCTGCAGTATCATTAATACATTGGATTTTTAGCGCTTCAGTGATATTTACTTAAGTCCCGTGGCCACACTTAGGAAAAAATTGCTCCTTTCACCAAGAGGAGCCGAATGGAACGGTTGTTTCATGAAAGGAACAAAAGTTTGGGAACAGGGGAAAAGTCAAATGAGTGCAAACACTGATCAAAGCTGTTCTCTTGCTCAAAACGAATACTAAGAAAACTTGCTCAGTGGGTCATGATGAGCTCATTCAGTCCACTCAATTACTGGAAAAATCTTCCACTTTGAGCCGTATGCATGTGTTGAGTCAGAACCTGGCACAGCAGCTTCAGTACACATTTTTGTTATAAAAAAGTCCCCTTTGTCTTTTGCAACCCTAAAAAAATTCTGGCCTGGACGCTTTCTGTATTTTGTATTTTTGGCACAGTAAATGTGGGCACTGTAGTGTTATGTTTCACCTGGAAGGTGATGTCTACGAGTCTAGGGTTCATTTTTCCTACCTGCAGCATCTCAGTGTTGTACATCTTTTTGTTTGCTGTCCAGCCACCTTTTATTCCATATGCAAATAGAAGTGCACGAAAAGGCTGCAAGTGCACGATGGTACACAGAAATCACGTTTGCTGAAAGCATGGTGGAATTTTTCTGCTGAACTTATTGGCATATTTTCAATGCAAAGCTGGCAGTTATTGTATAATGCCTCCAGCCTACAGTACAGGGGACCGAGAGAAAATGATGTGTTCAGTGAGACTGAGAAAACACAGTTGCAAACACCACAGAGCTCTGCTGGGATGGGCACAGCAGTTGTGGGGAGGGGTCAGGGTCAAATGTGCTATTTCAAGCAAAATCTGAGATGAGGATGTGTTCTTAGCCACAGGAAGAGCGTTGTCTTAGTCAGAACAGTTAATCATGCAACATGAAGAGAAATACATACTGCAAGTCCTCATGATTTCTGTTTCCAACAGATTTTTCCCTCCTCTGAAATGACTTGCATATATTTTGGTGCCGCTCATTTGCAACGTAGTGGCATCTGTGCTCTGGCTTTGTTGATGGAAAGCTGGAGGTTCTCCGGGTGTACGAGCCACGCTTCTGTCACAGCGTTAGCCTCCATGTGTCTCTTTTCAGGAGGCAGGCAGACAGAGGGAAAGGGAAGGGAAAAAAATGTCCTGCTGACGTCAGTGAAGACCACACTGGGCTGGATAATATTACTGTGTACCTCAACCACCCACTCCCTTTAATTTACTAGAAACTAAGCAAGCTGTTTTGAAACCCATCCCTTCCAGCATTTTTGCACTGCTCTCCCTCGACCAAAGGCTATTAATTGTCAGGAGGTTGAAAGCTACCTGATTCCTTGTTCAAAGCACTGAGACAGAGGGGATTTCCATGAGTAATAATTTCAGTCTGTGCCTGTGCAATGCACCGTAGGCTAGAGTAAATTGATCCAGCTGCTTGCAAGACTAGATGGAAAAGTGCCCGGGGGGGGCTGGAGCACATCACCAGATGGAGCTGGATGCTGTTGTCATCACATGGGTCTCCCCAGCTGCTGGGCATGCTCGGGCTTGACTTCCACCATGAGCAGGGAGGCTCAGCCTTCCTGTCTGCGCTGACTTGCAGTCAGTGAGGCAAATTGGCCAGCACATGTTGCAACGTCTTCTCTTGTAATAAAAAGGATAATTTTAGATTAGACAGAGCTGCCTTTTTCCCCCCCTCTCTTTCTCTCCCTGCTCAATGTCCTCACCACAATGACCCCAGTATTTTGTGTGTGCATTTTGCTCACTGGCAATCTTCTCTGTGACAGAGACCATAAAAGCTTCCAAGAGGCCAACTACTTCTACAAATAATAAAAACTGGCAGGATTAACCTGTAACCTGAGGCAACAAAAATACGGATTCCACTAGCCAGATGGCAGAGTTCAAAGATCCACTCACTTCCTGGCAGAGGTTGCACAAGTTATTTTTTATCCTTGTTAAAAAGAAATAAAAAGTGAAAACATAGCAATAAAATGTGTGCTGCTTGCTTCTCTGGTTTTAATCACATTTGTTTTATACCTTTATGTTTTGTTATTAGACATATTAGGAAATACATTTGTGCTCCCTTCTGGAGCTGTTTAAATCCTCATTGGGTTTTTTTTTTTTTTTGGTTATTTTCCCGGGATGTTTGTATGCACAATTCAATTTAGTCTATTGGAAGAAGAAAACTGCATAGGAGGAACTAATTAACGGAGCAGGAATGCAATTCACTTACTTTTTAAAACGAGCAATTTAATTAGCGTTGCTGGGAAAAGAGGAGATGGCACCCTGGATTTGATGGCCCCATCCTTGCTGGAAAGCCCAGGGCTGGGAATGTGACAGCAGCTGCCCGCTGCAATCTGGGCAAGAGCCAAGTGCGCTCAGAGGGTCTGGGGAGCCTGAGAGCTCCGCTGAGCACACGGAGGGAGAGACCTCTGCTGCAAACGAGGTGCAAATCCATTAAGGAGGTTGTCAGAGCAAGGGCTGCACCCCTGCGGTGGGACGGGAACGCCGGGGAAAGGCACTCCCCGAGTGCTGGCACTGCATGCTGAGGATGGGAAGTGGGGAGCAGAGGCTTTTCCTCCCCAGTGCAGAGCAGCTTGCTCGGCAGAAGAAAGTAATTCCAATCACAGCAGGGGACGCGGAGCAGTGAAGTGGGGTGTGGTTTATTCAGGGAGCAAGTGCGGTGATGTCCCACCCATGCCCCATGCCCCACACTCCCGTGGCAGGGCTGGCCAGCCAGAACTTCTCCCAAACAACAAACCCGCTCCGTCTGCATTCCCACGGGTCCCTGCTGACAAAACCAGCACACGCAGACAGTGTTGCAGCATGGGGACCTCACCGCACCCCTGCCGAACTGGTGGCAGCGAATTTACTGGGGAGAGAGGATCAGGACAGGTTAATCTGAGAGCAGGTCTTGGTGCTTCTTTCCCCCAAGACAGGTCATACAACTTTCTTCACCAGCCAAGTGTTAGCTGTGAGAAGAAAGGATGTGAAGTGTGAGGTTGAGATAAGCGCCTTTGTGCCTGGTTGTGGTGTGGCTGTCATGAAGTGTACACAGAAGTAAATGGCTCTGCCAGCAGATTGCAGAAGTGGAAGAATAAAGTTCATGGGTTGTTTTTGTGATGGTTTGTCCTCCCTCGCTGGCTGGGCCATTAATGAACACAGGGCCTGAGGTTCTGGCAGGGTTTTGGAGCAGGCTGCAGGTACCCCTCAGGAGAGCAGCACTGGGAGTTCCAGGCAGGGAGTTCATGATTAATTTTGCAGGCATTTATTGTGCAATGGGAGATGGCCACCAGCCAGCTCAGAAGTTAAGCCAAAAGATGACTGTCAAATGAAACTGTTACGTTTGGCAGATCTTTCCAAAGCTGCTGTGCAAAACAGGCGTAGTGAAGCTGATTTCTGAATTTTCCAGACCCTCTGGACGGCATATTCTTGCATGGCAGTCCTCTTCGTTTCCCCGCTTTTGACAGAAGAATTGAATTTGACTCGCAGGCTGTGTGGATTTTAGATCAGGATTTGTTGTACAGGCAGCCCCTCTCCATGCCTTAACATTTACCTGCAAACGTCTCCTTCTGGTAATTCCTCCTTTAATGAACTTACAAGGAGCCAGCTCTACTTGGCTTTCTGAAAACAAAACCATGTTTTCTTTGAAAAGCCTTTTCAGCCCAGATGAAGGGGGGGAGGAGATGAAAAAGCTGGTGGTGCGAAACGAGCTCTGCCCGTGCAAGCAGATTGCGATAGAAATTTCCCCCTTGTGTGGCTTACCCTGAGCTAAGGTCAGTCAGTTAACTCTGTTTGGACACCGTCTGGCATGAATACTTCAACGATAAAGCTTAATGTGTAACCCAGGGCTTTTTTTTCTTCTGTGTCAGCAGTTGGCAGGAAGATACTGTAAATAAGGCTCCCTATGAGTAAATAGATATGTGTGGAGAGGGGAGGGGAGCACCGCAGTAAGCAGTTTTGAAATTCATGCCAGAGTTGCTCCAAGTGATAAGGTTATTTGAGTAACCTGCAAACCATACGGATGCACAGGTTTCAAAAACAGGAAAGCGTCTTGTTTAAAAAACTTCTGAGGCAACCCGAAGGCTTAGAAGAGAAACTGGCTGTGTGGTTAAGTGCCTTGTTGGTGCTTCCTTGTTGGTATCAGGACTGAGGTGCTGCAAGGCCTCTCGGGGGCAGCTGCGGTGGCCGTGCTCACCGAGGGGCTTTTTGAAGGGATGAGAAATCTCAAAGTTTCCCTATTCATTTCCTCTTCAGGCGAGTTGGGAGGGGTTTTTTTCCTCACTCTCCTTTTCAGTAATGTCATAAGAAATAAGTAAATAATTCAAGTGAGCTGACATCCTCAGAGGATGCGCTGTGTCTGAGTTCACCGGGTCCCCTCTCCTGGTGGACGTGGCCCTGCTGTGGGCTGTGCCAGGCTGGCTGGTGCTGTGCATGGCTCCTGGCTCCTGACACTGCCAGCCCAGCACCTGAACAGGGGGGCCTTTGGAAGGGCAGGGCACAACGCCTTTCTGAGGGGTTTAAACGTGGATGTGCAGAATTTGCTGATGATTTTGGAAAGTCTGATGGCTAAGGTTCTTCATAAATAAACCAAAGCCACGTACTTTCTGTTTGACCTTTGCTTTTGGATTAAGAAAATCAGCCCACAAGATCCGAAGTTTAGTTTTTGCAGGAGAGAGAGAGGTGCATTTGCCTGGGCACGCGTGGCTGTGGGTGCGCACGTGCCTCGCTGAGCACCGTGTGACCCTTGCTTGCCCTGGCACCTTGCTCCTTGGGGGTTTACAGAGCTGGTATCTAGAAAACACAAGCCTTCTTCACCTGAAATGACATAGCTGACACAGTTCCAGCATATTCTGTTATTATTTATTGAACAGGACTCAAAGCACAAAGCTGGGACACGGGCTTTTTCTTTTCCAGCATGTGTGGTTTCCAGTGGAGGTCATGCTCCTCTCTGTTGGATTTGGGTACATCCAGTCTTCGAGCCTTCAGGGTCAGACAGGGACCTGACTGGGTCTCTTCCCAAAGGGATGGCTCTTTATCTCTTGGAAGCAGAGGGGATATTTCAGTCCCAACCTGGCTTCTTCTCCCTACCTGCTTTATCTTCCAGGATGTCCACCTCAGCTGTTTCCCTCAGCGGTGGCAGCTGCAGTGCCAGACACCACATTTACAGCAGAGATGGCTTTGGCCCTTCAGGTCCTGTATTTTGATTGCTCCTCAACTGAAATATCAATGGCTTCTCAGTCACTTAGAGCAAAGAAAATGTTTGAAAAAATCAAGGAAATTAATTTAACTAGACTTGGAGAAAACATCTTTGGCTAGAAATTCAGGCTCCAGCCAACACAGCCAGCTTCTGCCAATTCAACTTTCGCCTTAGTCCTAGAAGCAAGCAATGAAAAGGGAGGAAAAAAAAAAGAAGGAAAAAAATCCCCTTCATTGCCCCTTAGATTTAATTGTGTTTTTTTGTAAGCCTCATAAATCCTGCCCAAATCGCGTCATCAAGCCACAGGGAAACTGAAACCTTGCCCAGGGCAGGAGCCAGCAGGGCTGTTCAAGCCAGAAGGGTTACATTCAGGGACAAGTTCAATGCACTGCCGTCTTGTTTTCAATGGGAATGTGCTTGTCTGTGTGTGTGTGAGAAAGGCACCTGGGTGCAGGACATGGTCCTGCCTTTTTCCTCTTTGGATGTTAGAAAAGATACAAAAGGAAAAGAGTGGCATGAGTGGAGGCAAAGCAGACATCCTTGAGGCCACCCCTAGCCTTTCAAGTGTTTTTCCTCTTGTGCTGCAGTGAGGGAGAGCAGGAAGGGAGGGACAGGGACTCACACCAAACTGGCCTGTCCAAGCACTTTATTTTTTCCTTTGAGCATCTGACAGACAGAGGGAGGAGGATTAAAAACCCCATATGTCTAAGCTGAACTACTGAAGCTTTTCTTACCCTTGTCTCTTGTGGCCCTCTCATATGATTCTTTTGTGTGTAACTCCCATGAAGGAAGAGAAAAGCAGGTATGGAAGCTGAACCGCCTTTGGTGCCTTTAGTGCCTTCCCTCAGTCCCCTGTGTGGGGTGGGTGATGTCCAACTGAGAGATCAGCACCAACTCCCCGAGGGGAAAAAGCAGGACCTCACATCTCACCATTGGTATTTCACGTTCGGGGGATGTGCACAGTAGGTCCTGCAAGGTTTCAGCAAGTGCATTGTTTGGGTTTTCACTGGAGCAGGCTTGGCACAAAGCACTGCACAGGGGCACAGCTGCTTGCCTGAGACACAGAGGTGGCATGTTGTGCCCTGCTGGGCACCTCCATTGCCTCAGTGGCAGGCAGACTCCATCTCTCTGGAAGGGATACAGCAGCAGGCTCTGATGGGGGCTGAGCTATCGCCAGCAGTGTTTAGCCACCCCTCTACAGAACTGCAGCAGAAGCTGAAAATGTTTGCTTATTTTTATTTGGCTTTTTTCCCCATCTCCTGCAGGAAAATACATTTAAAAGCACAAGGGCATAAGGCTCTCTCCTGCCAAGCCGAGCCCCCTCTGCTCCACAATGTCCCAGCAAGCTGACCTTTGCCTTCGGTCGGGCTTTTTTCAGACTCATCATTATTTTGGCTGCATTTGTGCTGTGGAGGAATGCAGGTGTTTCCTCTGCTCCCACCAGCATGCCCATGCTCTGGTTTCTGAAGGGATGGGGAGGTTGCTCGTGCATGTCCTGTCACGTTCCAGAAGGCATTTGAGGAAAATGTGGATGCAGTTCAGGCACATGACCAGGGAAACAACACATTTGCATGCACTTGCATGTAAGTGTAATTTAGGCAGGCAACGTGCCGAGCTTGCTTGAAAAACTGGCCCATGTTTTTCCATTTGTGGGTTGTTTTTTTTTTTAAGTTAAGGAAAGGCAAACAACTTGTTCCTCTGTTTGATCTGTAATAACCCGAGCCGGTTCCCTTGGAAAGCTTATTTGTTCTCCTTGGCTGCTGAAGTGGATGCCGAATTTTGAGCATCCTGAGCAGAGACGGTGTGCTTATGGGGTTCTTTGTTGCTGAAGCTTTTGTTGGACAATTATGAGACTCATTTATATAGCTGTTTATGTATTAAAATTGTTGGGTTGCCTGGAGCTACGGATAAGCACTCCTTGTTTGACATATCTCTAAATAAATATAGAGGCACATTATTAATGGATACAGCTTTAAAAGCAAACACCCAGAGATGCACTTACAATAGGGGGAGGAAAAACCAAGGTTACATCATGTTGCTAGAAGCCAATTGCTTTGTTTTCTAAAATGTTTCTCTGTAGGACACAGATGATTTTTTGACTCATTCAGTGTTTGAGCATCCAAAAAGTCTCACAGTTGTTCCAAAATTCTTTCAGCAGCATCCCACATGGCATTGATAGACGGTTACACTGTAAAACAGTCCTGTATATTCTTTTTCCCCAATGGACTCATGCTTTTGTATTTCTGGAGAAGTGTGTCCCTGCTGAGGGAGGAATCAGCATTTTAGGGCTTTTCAAACTACATGATTTTGCAGTCTGAAGAAGAGCAGATGGCCTGGGGCTTTTACATGTGTGTGAGTGCAAGTGTGCTGATGGGTGAACACCCGGGGTCACCAGGAGAAAGTGGCAGCCTACTGCTCCTGCTGTCATGCTGCTGATCCCGTAGGTGCTGAGCTATAGCTGGCACAAGGAAACATCTCCTAAGTGCAGAGCTGGTTCCCTGACAGGCAGTTATGAACTCACTTGTGCACTCTCTGTCACCCCTGCTGCACCCCTTCTCTGGAGAGCAATGTTCCCATCACTGTGTAGCTTTCTCCTCCTCCTCCCCAGCTCCCTCAGGCTTAGAGCCAGAAGCTCCCACCTGGCTCTTGCTGATGGCCCTGCTGTTTGCTCCTCAGCCCTACCAGGAACTGGCTGTTGTTTGTTTTGGATCTGAAGGGCACAGATTTGAGCAGGGCTGTGACTGAGGACAGGTTGTCCTGTCTCTGAACAGGGAGCTGAACCCTGGGTTCAGAACTGCAGGTCAGGTTGAGAACTGGCATCCCTCTGTTCTCACTGCAGAACTATCAATGCTTTTTCTGCCATTTGTGCCCTGGGCCAAGCACCTGCAGTTTTGGATAGAGGATTCACCACCAGCCACCTATTCCAGGGGCCAGCCAGCTCTCTGCTCAGACCTCTGCTCAGCAAAACCCATGTGATGACATTTGGGATGTTGGACTGAGAAATGCCTGCCGATCTTCCTTGGGGAGGTACAATGTTCCCAGGGCTGCAGGTGTATCCTGCTTTGGCAAGCTGCATGGCTGCATCCCTGCACACACCTCAATGGCGCTGTTCTGCCAGCAAAAGCCTGCAGCACAAACCTGGCTGTAGGCTGTAGTTTTTGTGGGCACAGACCAGATTTCTGTGACATGCCTGCTGTGCCCTGGGGGCCCGCTGGGACCCTGAACCCTCCCGTGGAACATGGAGCCAGAGCACAGCTGGGTGCAGCAGTGCTAATGCTGGCCCAAGGGGGCTGTATAACTTGATGAGCCCCTTCCTGCTCTTCACTAGCTCTAGGGTCAGTTGTTTCTGCTCACCCAGTTAAAAAGTAAATACACTGTGCTTGGAAAACCACTGAAGGAGCAGCTTGGCCGTGTGGACATGCAGGAGGCATGCTAGCTATTTAAGCCCTCAGAGGGGATGGTGAGGTTCCTGGCAGCTAGTCTGGCTCCTTCCTGGGACACACACAGTCCCCCAGGCTGAGGGCTGGTGGCTCTCTGGAGGGCGAAAGCAGGGCAGACCTTGTTATTGCCTGCTTAACTGGCCCCTTCAAGTGGCTCACCTCTGTCCTGTGTGGTTGTTTGTACTGCAGTCTCATCTGTAGGTGGGTGAATTGTTCTCTTCCTCACCTGGAACTACTCCCGTGGGCTAGGCAGGAGTTTGGCTGGTGTGCTCCTGTTTGTTTGCTCTAGGGAAGCGTGTGCATTCACCTTCCATGGGGAGGGTGCAGGCTCAGCAACCAGTGTGCCTATTTTGGAGCCAGGTATTTGCAAGGGCTCCTCAGACTGCTGCTGGCTTCTGGAAGCATGTCCCTTGGCACTGCTGCCACAAGCAGGGGTGGTGTCCCAGCCTGACCCTTTGCTCCGTTAATAGCCTCCCTGAGAGGCTCAGCCTTGGGGCTGGGTGGCTGCAGGAGAGCCACAGACCCAGCCAGGCACAAGCAGCCCTCTGCAAGCATCCCTGGCTGTGGTGTCTCTGCTGTGCGAGACACAGAAGTCGCAGTGCCCGCTCCCGCCACCCTCAAAGCACTGATGTGGTGTCCTAGCAGTGGCTTCTCCCTGTGGGACCAAGGGTCCCATGGGCTGGGGACCAAACACGTGGAACGCAGGACTCAGCAGAGGGAAAGTGGGGAAGAGTGAAAGAACACAGAAGGTTTATCAAAAAGTGTAGTCCAGTGACAGTGCCACCATTGTCCCAAACACCTACCCCCTTGCGCTTACCTGTGTAGTTGGAATGTGGCGAGATGGCAAAGGGGGACGGGCCTGGGAACTCGTGGGCTGGATGGGAGATGTTTGTGTACCCAGCTGCTCAGCTGCTGCTCAGATTCCGGGAAGCTGTGAGCCCTGCAGGAGGGCATGACACCTCAGGCGTCACTCTGCTGTCAGAACAAGAGCACCCATGGCACTTCTAACCTCTAACCCACGTCCTGGCCGGGCTCCAAGGACTTTTGCAATCCCCCACCTCTCCCACCGGCTAGGATTTGGTTCTCCTTGGTTACTCCTGCCCTCTTCTGTGAACAGCCCTCTGTCAACCTGTGGGACGGCTCTCCCGAGGAATGTGAACAGAGCTAGCTTTCATAGGTGTGCTGTTAAACATTAGCTGCATCCCTCTCGGCAGGCAGCCACTTTCCACCTTCTCTTTGCCACGCATGCCGGCGTGCCTGCGGTACAAGGCACTCGCTCCTCATCTTCCTCAAAAGGGCAAGCAAAATCGCATGACGCCGAGGTGAATGTGTTGAACTTCTGGCTAACTTACGGGCTTCCACTACACAGCAGAGCTTTTTGGGATGTGATGAAGGAGACAGAAGTGTTGAAAAGTATGGAGAGAGAATAAAAGGGCAGGTGGGGGTGATCAAATTCCAGCCAAAAAAATCTCCAAAGCAGCCAACCAGAGATGGATAAAGAATTGCCAGTGAGTCAGGGGGAAGGAATGGCAGCATTGTCTCATGTTCAAGCAGAGAATCTGTAATGGAAGAAGATGAAGTGCCAGGGAACTAATATCCCACTGCAGCAATTGTTTGATCCCTCCCTTCCCCTCCAAAAAAGCAAGTTACTGCTGGCTAGCTAACAAGTTGAAAAATCCAGTCCAAAACCTAATCCAGTCTCTTGTGCCAATAAGCGCATCTGTCAGTGTGTCAGTGTTGATCCTCCTTCAGCACATGCCACATGCTCATGTCTTTACACAGGATGGGCTGGAAGGACCATTAACTAGATTACAAATTCTAAGGCACAATTAAAAACCATGCTGCCGCTTTGCTTTAATCTTCCCTCCTCTAGCTTCCAGGCTTGTTTTTTCCCTGGGCTGACACCGTCCTGTTGTTTGGTGGTGCTAGGGTAGCGTTACACAACCCGGGCTGGCTTTTAAAAGTGTGAAACATTGTGCATTACCTTGGCAGCAACACGAGGCTCTCCCAAAAAAAAAATAAAAAGAGAGTAACCCGACCAACTGGCAAAACAATAGCTGCATTTACTGCCTGAGGAGGAAAAGATTTGGGCATTGAAGCTGTGCGACCGAGGACAGTTTGTGCAGTTTGCTCTCCAGAGTTGCTCAAGAAAAATTGTCCAAGGAAAAGAAACGTCTGGTGTGTTTGTTCAGAATGCAGCTGTACGCCTGCAGGCCTGTGGCAGCTGGAGGCGCATGGGAAGGAGGGAGACTGGAAGGTTCCTGGCTTTCAGTGGTGCTCAGTGAGGCAGGACTCGTGCCACTGGAGCCTGGAAGAGGGGTCTGTGCCAGCTGCATGTCCCCCATTCCCAGGCAGAGAGTTTCTCCAGGGAGAGCCGTGATCCTGCAGATAACGCCGTGGGGAGCGCTCCTGCCAGAGGGGTCCTGCTTTTATTCCTGCCGCGCTCCCTGCGCAGCCTGGCAGAGATGTGGACTTCCCTTTATCCTTCCTGGAGCAAAGGATGCTCGGGCAGCCCCTGCCCCGCTGCTGAGGCACAGAGCGGCTCCCGGCGCCCGGCTGGTGCCTGTGCCCCTAGGGCAAGGAGAGCCGGGACAAGCAGCATCATTTGGAGCATTCCTGACCTCCTAGGTAACATCTGATAACACAAGGTGGATTGCAGCCTCTTTTCCGAGACAGGGAATTGCTCCTTAATTGCTACTGCATTGTACAAATGCAGAGGGAATTTTACAGAGGACCTAACATATTCTAAAATGCCTTTTCTTTTTTTTTTTTTTTTTTTTTTTTTTTTTTTTTTTTTTTTTTTTTTTTTTTTTTTTTTCTTTTATTTCTTGGCTGTTTTCCTCATGCAGAACTGCATTTATTACTATTATTAATGGCCTCATTGGTCCTTGTTCTGGTTCTGAGTCTTTATAGTTGCTGTCATTATACAATTTTTAAGGTACAAATTGAATCCTGGCCTACCTGCATTAAAAATGGTGGAGTTGAGAAATTCTATTTTTCACAGGTTTGGGCATAAGAATATTTTTGCGTTCTGTCCTGTGCTTATTGTGATGAAAAGCTCTCGTCACCACTGCCCGTAGGATCTATCAGGGATAAACTTCCCCTCCACAGAAAATTAGAGACGTTATAATTGTCCCACTGGGATTTTAGAAATGAATGCTAGAGTGTCCTAGTATTTCTACAGGACCCTGTGTGCTTATCCTTTTTAAATGCTGCAAGATTTTTCCATATGGTAATGTTTAGGATGCATTATGAAGGCCTTTCATCTTCTTCTGAAGCACAGGATGAAATACGGGTCATGGCTAGAAGGAAGCAGTAAGGCTTTGTGATCTGGTGGTCTGCTGCATCTGATACGGCAAAGCCCGTGCTGCCAGGAAGGCCAGCGTCCTTTTGGGAACTTAATGGCTTGGCGGGGTTGCTTTAAAATTGCAGCTACACCTATTTGATACTTTTTTGGATGAAAGAACAAGATCTTTCACTCTCCTTACTGTGGAGTGCCAGCCAGGTTTAAAATTAATATCAACCGATGTTGAAGAGGGAAGGAAATGAAAGAAGCGTTTCTTCCCCAGAAGCAGCCCTGCTTTCCTGCCTTTTCCATACGTGCACAGACGTCTGCCAGTTTTGGCACCAGAAAACATTAAAAATAAGAAGTTTTTTAAATACTGGGAATTCTTTTACGTCTTTAAGTGTCGCCCAACAGGAATGCAGAGGCTGTAAAACGGACAAAAGAGAATTGAGCCAGTCAATGTTTCTGCAAAGAGCTTATTCCTGCCTAACAAAACATTTGAAATATCCCTGTGTGTTTTTGGAGAAGGCTAGAACAAGGTGAAAGGCTCGGCCTCTTGTGCCCTGGAGCCTGGAAATTGAGAAGAAGCCCAGAGCTAAGGAACAGAGGTTGAGTTTCCTGCTGTCCCAAATTCACTCCAGCTCCGTAGCAGATTCCAGGAGTCTGGGATAGCTGATGTGAGATGCCTGTGGTCTTTTTTGCTAGAAATACTGAGTACCTATCCTGGACACTGATTTGGAGCGCAGTAAACTGTGGTAAATCACGCTCTTGGCACTCAGAATGCAGATGTTTGAAATGAACAGAGGCTCTCTCAAGAGATATTTTTCCCAGCCATAAAAAGGAGGAATAGCTAGATTGCAAGAGAGGAGGTTAAATCACGGAGTTTTTTGTAAACTGCTGTGAAGCTTTGGGGAGGAAGCCATTATAGGAGTACAAATTGCTCTTTATTTTTTATTTTATCTATTGCCTCATTCTCAAATAATGAAATTCTGAATGTACCTCTTTGCTAGCTGCAGAAAAATAGGAGAATGTGGGAGGATTCTTAATGACACTAATAAAACCAGCTGAACACTTTGCCAGCAATTTTTTTTATTGCAAAAATACCATTTTATTAATACAAATGGTCTTTGTAGGATTCCATTTGTTGTGACACAGTTTTGTTTAGAAAAATATACAGGCCAAATTATTTTGTTCAAAACGTTCCCTTTTCTCTGGTTAGAATGGAGCACTTAATTTCAGAATTTCATTTTATAATGGCTTTTCTTTTTCTTTTTTTCTTTTTTTTTTTTTTTTGCTTGGGCAGTGTAATTTATATGCCACAATAAAAATATAAAGAATTGAAGTGACGTGATTTTAATGAAAGTGCAACATATTAGCATGGGATAGTTTTATGTGAGTGGAAACTTCAATTAGTGGGAAAAATGCCAATATACTGGTGGTCCACTCTGCAGCCTTTCTTCCCTGCTGTGCTTAGGGAAGAAATGGAAAGCTTGATGCTGGGGTCCAGAACAGCCCTTTTTGCTTCTTCCACTCAATCCTTCTTGTTATTAACACCTTCCTTAGCTAGGAGGCAGCTGGATTGCAAGTGCAGGTTATTTTCTGGCTGCAGCCCATGGACTTTTCCCTTCTCTCACTTGTGTGGAGATCGTGGCCATGTGTGACAGGGGTGTGAAAATCCATCCCTTTCGCTGCTCCCAGCTACTGGCCTGCCATGCTGAGTTCATGGATGCTCTGTATTTGTGTGTCCACATGCTCTTGTGTTTGGTGGGTGCTGTGAGAGCCCACGGATCATCTTCTTCCTACCATCCCCTTTGGCAGTGTGGTGCTGGTGAGATAAATGAATTGCTGCACTTCTTAGGGGGTTTGGCCTGCCGACAGGATGGTGCCATTTGGGTTGGGTGCCCCACTGACTGAAGATGATAAATTGTGATGTACAGTAAGTCCCATGAAGGACAAGGAACACTCCTGCCTTATTTTGGGGAAGAGAAATGTGGGAACATCTGCCCTTGGAAGCCACCGAGAATGGAGCAGGAAAAGGAGCGAGCAAAGTGGGACCTAAATTCTGTTAATGGGCATGGGTTGGAGGTGGTGTGGTGCTCCAAGCGGTCAGAGCCCGAGCAGAGCCCAAAACCACTGCTGCTCTGTGCTTTTCCAGGAAAACATGAGGCTCTGCAATATGTGCACTCTGTTAGGCATTGTCTGGAGTGGCTTTTCAGGGAGCAAGAGAGCTCTCTGTGCATTAGCTGGAACGACTCCTCCACTGAATGTACGCTCTGCTTCCTTGCTTCTCCGGACCACTCCCTCCCGTCTGGCTCTTAGCACTTCCAGCCTTCAAAATGTTCAAATAACTCCGTTTATCCTCACAAGACCTTTGTGGGAGGGATGGGTAAATCCTTAGTTTGCAATTGGGAAACTAAAAAATAATCCCCCATCCCTAATTTGCAGTGAGGCTTCAGTGTGCCAGGCAGTGCTCAGACCGCGCTGCAAGCACATGCCTGCACACACAGGAGCAAATGGACACTTCTGGGTGTCTCTGTACTGACACAGATCTGTTTTTATGGCTTGGTCAAGCTGTGTGGGTACTGCAGGTTCAAACATAACTTGCTTTTGATTTCCCTCACACAACGCACACCTGGTGTGAGAGAGTCTGGTTTCTGCCGCTTGTGAGAAATGTATTTCCCTGCTGGGCTTGGTCAGCGAGGAGGAGAAGGAGAAGGAGCGAACCACGTGTGGTGACATCTGTGGCAGTGTGTACTTGGGCACAGCAAAGTGTAACCCACCGGTGGGGCTGGCCAGAGGTGCCGACACGTGCGGGAACCGCTGTCAGACACCGCAGGAGCGGCACCTCTGCCTCGGGGCGCGCCT